ACATCTGCCCCTGAATCCAGCATCCCTTTTATACAGCGTCCTGCCATAGTGACAGATAAATAAGGCCCGTCTGTTGTCAAGTGGATAGTTGCCATAGCAATGGGTGTAGTTTGCAAATTATTTGGCATAGGCTGGCAAGACTGCTGAGAGTCCCTTTCACTTGGCAATGGTATTAAGAGCATACGAGCTACAGGTGAATCTGCCAGAACTTCCACATGCATAGTGGACCAGAGATGCAGCATAATGTCTGTTGAGCCAGACGACTCATATAATACTGGAGCCACATGGCAATGGTCCGGGCCCATGATTGGGAGCAGTAAGCCAATGTAGCCCGCTGGTACCGGGTGGGATACTCTAGCAGGTACAGGCACAGCAAATCCCGGATTAAGCACAACCGATGAGGTAAGAACAACAGGTAGTCCAGAACAACCTGTGTTGTGCTCACGTGGCTCATGTGGCTTCTCATCATCCCCTATAGTATAAAGGCAAGGATTTGACAGGCTGCAAAATGGCCATTCCCCACTAGGGGGCAGCTCAGGGCACGAGTTCTCTTGCAGTTCCAGTTCCCCTATTGTTTTCTCTGGGCCCGGGGTTGGGCCCCGCCCTTGTTTCCCTGGCTACTGTCGGAGCCTTGTTGTCCCGCCTGGGGGCGTGAGCGACACTGATTATCCCAATGGAAACCTTTTTGGCAGATAGGGCATTTTTTCGAGGGACAGGCTGTGCTTTTTTGAACAGAACGGCATTGTGCTTTGAAATGGCCTTCTTTGCCACACCCAAAACATTTCTTTCCAGCAGCAGGATTATTAGACTGTTCAAATGTCTGTACTGCAGCTGCGAGCAAACGTGCCTTATGGGTTTGTGATCCAACATTCTGGCACACCCGAAGCATAGAGTGTATATCTGTATCTGGATTATTATAAATGGGTGTGAGGGCCATCTTACAGTCCTCATTTGCATTTTCAACCGCTAGCTGCTTGAGTAACAATTTTCGGGCCTTGGGACTGTCAATCTGGCGTTCTACAGCCCGCATCAGCCTATTGATGAACTCTGTATATGGCTCTGTAGCGCCTTGTCTTATATTAGCGAAGCTGGACAAAGAATTGTCTCCAGGCTCTGGGATCTTTTTCCAGGCTTTTATGACTATACTAGCCACTTGAGTTAGGGCTTGGTCTGTTAATGCAACTTGTTGCACAGCCGTTGCAAAGGCTCCCTCTCCTAGCAGCATACCTTCCGTAATATTGATATTATGTATGGCATTTTGCAATGCTTGCGCAGCTGCCCCTTGCCGCCAAGCCTCCATGCAAAGGAGACCTTGGGCAGGGGGGAGGAGGGAGCGGAGGATCATTTTCCAATCCGTGGGCGTTAGCCTCTGGAGAGACATGCCTTCCAGCAAAGCTCTGGTATAGGGGGCTTGAATGCCATTATCTCTAATAGACCGCTGTAACTCTTTCAAAGTTTGCAACGATAACGGCTCATATCTATCCGGAACGGCTTGCATGCCTCCTCCCCCGGGAACCCCTCTGAGCACCGGGAATGCTGCTGGGAGTTCTTGTGCTCCCGGATCCCCTTCCTCCAAAATTGCTGTTTGCAAAGCAGCAGCTAAGGCAGCTGTTCACTGCATAGCAGGAGCCAGAGTTAAGACTGGTTCCTCATTATCTGATTCCAAAGCGTCAGGCGGCTTTGATGGCGGAAGGAGGTGGTGCCTCTCATACTGAGGAGGAGGAGGGGCTCTAGGAATCGGCGCGGGCAGCAAGATTTGCGGGAATTGTGCAGGTGGGGCGGTCCCAGCTTCCAGTTGTTGATTGAATAATATATTAGTCGGCATTAGTCCTTTTAGACAAGCCCGGACTTTACACCACGTAAATAAAATCCTGGAAGTTACTCTGGGATGATCCTGAAAACAGTTGCCAATGTTACACCAATCCTCAAGTTTCATCGTGCCTGACTCCGGCACCCATGGGTAAACATCATCAATCGCTGTAACTAATGCTTCGACCTCCCTTTCAGTGACAGAATGTCCCTCTTTAGTAAGTAAAAAGTGAAGGTCCCGTTTAAACGCCTGTTGTTCGGTGGATAAGGAAGAGCCCATTGTTTCAGTGTTCTAACTTGACCAGTCACACTCACCTGGGATCCGTAGATGCGTGGCGCGCCTGTAGCCCGTGCCGGGCGTGGGGAGGTGACGACCGCGGGAACTGTCGGCTTGCAGCCGAGGTTGAATCGAGGCAAACCGCTTGCCTCACAAAGTTGCCTCACAAAGTTGCAAAGTTGCCTCACATGGGGCACCAACTTGTCGGAGTACCTGCTCCGGCAATCGGCGCGAGAAAGTTTTATAAGAAAGAAAGACTGCAGTCAAGAGATAAGTTTCTAAGCATGCTCGGTTGAGATCTCGGGGGAACAAAAGAATTCTTCTCAATCTGCTCCCCCCGTCACCACTGGCACCTTCATTTATTACTTCCTAGATTGTTACATTTGTATTTGCCTACAGCCAATCGCCATCGAGTAAAGCAGCCAACTCCCTAGTGCTTTTTGCGCAGGCGCAGGATACAGGAAGCTTACTCATTGCTTATATGGGCACAAGCCTTATATGGTTACACAGGGAAGTACAATACTATTGGCTGGGTAAGTTGCAATACTATTGGCTGTCGTGGCGGGCGTAACTACAGCGTAATCTAGCGATGCTACTGGCTATTGCGGTGTGCGTAACGACAGCGCGACGCTGCAAAGCAGCGATGAATTCCCACAGCCCCTCAGAAGCTGCTGACCAGACACGGAAAGTATAACTTATGGAGGGAGGAGGACAACACAGAGAGTTTCGAAAGGGACTCGGCCCTCCTATTCCGTTATTTGCATTCAGAAATAAATGTTATTTGAGTGGCCCACATGAAGCATTCCTAGATTAGGGTAAACCATACAATGGAAAGCTGCCTTTACTTTCAATCTCTTTGACACTCTGAAGACAAACATTTCAAGCAGGACGTGGCAGTGCGGAGATCGTCGCATCTGTGTATTTACTGGTCAGAAGAGGGGAGGGGAAGCCGTGGGCCCTCCGTCCACTGGGAGAAAGTTTCCAGGCTGCACACCTGTCTGCCCAGAAACAGCCTTGGGGGGCCACGCAGCCCCCTCCCCAGGGCCCCCCAGGCGATCCCCACCCACCCCGGTCTCCGTCTCCAGCATTCCCACCCTGCTCCACCCGGCCAACTCCCCACAAGCACCGGCCTCCAGGGAAGCCTCTCCAGGGAGGGCCAGGAAGAGCCAGGATCGGGGCTGGGAGCCCCCCTTGGACAGGCCCAGCCCTGCATGTCCCTGGAAGGGAAAGGGAGGCGCTGCCGCCCAGACGGGATCCCTGACTTGGCCCCCCTTTGCTCCCTGGTGTGGAAAGGAGCCAGGCTGGGCAGGGCAGCCCTGCAGCCCCTCCATCCTCTTTCCCCCAAATGGCTTGGCCCCCCGCAGGCCCCCATGTGGAAGCTGTGGCCTAGAGGCCTGTGGGGAAGAGGCTGCGGTCCCTGGACTCTCCCACGCCAATGCTCTTCCCTGCAGGGCCCCTCTACCTTTAAATGAGTAAGAATGGCCCCTTCATGGACCCCCCCGGGGATCACAGCCCCCCCCCCCCCCGTCTGCCCAGCTGCAGAGCTCAGGCTCTCTGCTCCTGTAAGCGGAAGCAACGCCTCGCCTCCAGGGAAGGGACCCGTCACAGCGAGGAGCAGGGCCTCTCCGGGGCAGCCCCGGCCTGCAAGTCGGGGAGGCCTGGCTCGATCCGGCCCCGTCCTCCCCCCTCCGAGTCGCCCCTTCCGCAGGGCCCGCCTGCACTTCTGTGCCCCCTTCACCTTCTCCTTCCAGCCCAGCTGCGCTTGGGCCCCTCGCAGTCACAGGCCGACTGGAGCGGACCAAAAGGCGTCACTGCTGGGGGGAGTGTGTGGTCAGCCATAAGGCCAGGAAACCCCCTTGGGTGGGGGCAGAGTCCAGCAATTTGCTCCCCAAAGCCAGGGATGGACGTCTCCCCCTCCAGGAGCAGCTTCTTCCAGGGGGGTGCCCCCAGCTGCTCTGTGGAAGAGCCCACGTCCTCCGGCCCCTGCCCAGACTCCCTCCCTCCCCGTCAAGGCTTCAAACACCGCCTGGCACTCCTAGTCCACTTCTCCATCGCTGCCTAACCTGCTTGTTTTCAGAAGCGTTGATCAGGCACGTCCCGCCTCCCCCAAAGCTGCCCTGTTTGGGGCTTCCATGGATATTTCTTTCTACTCTGGAATGGGGGGAGGATGTGCTTGGGCAGCTTCCCGAGGGAAAAATGCCCCCCCCCTGCAGAGCAAGCTCCCCCCAAGAGGAGGACCGGCCGCTCCAGGCCCGGCTCCCTCAGGGGTTCCTCCGCCCATCCAGAAGGGGGTGAATGCAGAGCTGGCGGGGGGGCAGCTCTCTGGGTCTGTCCTTTTCAGGCCTCTGCATCTCCCCCCGGGAGCATCATCGGTGGGCTCGAACAGCCCCACGTGGGACTGACAGCATTTCCCCACAAGGCCTTCTGGGGCCCTCACCCTGCCTCAGTCCCACAACTCTAAAAGGAGGGGTGGCCACGGAGGGCGCGTTCACACGACACGAGGTGCCTCGCTGGGGGGCTCCCTCGCCCCGCACTTTCCTGCCCCAGAAGGAATTCTGAGCCCCGTCCGGATCCTCCGGAGAAACGGGGCTCAGCTGCCAGCGCCACTTCCCTGAACATGGGAACCCTCCGTCTGGGAAGATTATGGAGGGTGGGGAGCCCTCGCCCTCTTCCGCTCGTGCCCCCAGCCCCACCCGGCTCCCCCTGTCTGGGGGACCTCGTTCTGCATCCTCCCTCTGAGGAGAAGGGGAGCGTCACTACCCCACAGCAACCGCACCCCCTGGTTGTGGGGAGGGGGAAGGAGCTGCTGCCCTGGGTGGCCCCCGCCCCTTCCTCCCAGCACCCCCTCCCCTCCCCCAGCCCCTGGAGAGGACAAGCATGGGAGGGGGACATGCCCCCCCCGCGCTCCACTCACCCCCGCTCTGGTTGTAGTACTTCTGCGCAATCACCAGGTTCTCTCGGAACACCTGCTCAGAGTTCCGTGCAGCCTGGGTGTTCCACTGCCAGTACTGGGGGTCATCCGCGTCCACCTTCCCCATCCAGGGGACTCGAGGCAGGTCCTTCCTGGTGTTGCTGTCATAGTGGGTGATGGGCTGGTCGTCCACGTACCCCACTGCGATGAACTGGGGCAGCCCCTGGCCGGGCTCCGAGACCGCCGTGTAGAAATAGCGCAGGGAGTGGGAGGAGGCGCCTGGAAGGGAAGGAGAAGGGGCAGAGAAGGGGTCAGAAACGAAGGACACAATGCGCACTGCTGGTCAGGATTCCCTGCGCTTCATCTTGTTTATTTATTTAGAGCATTTCCAGACCATTTGATCAGCAGAATGGTCTCAATACACTTTACGGTTTATGTCGTAGGAACCACTCATGGCACCCCATGTGAACCAAATGCAGGAACGCGGCGATGAGGTTTGGAGCAGCCCTGAGCTGGAGCAAGGAGCTTCCGCAGGCAGGTGGGAGAGGCCTTGGGAGGGGAAAGCTCGGGGGGGGATGGACCCCCACGAAAGGGCTTCCCCCTAATCCAGCTGCGCCAGGGAAAGCCCCCCCCCCCCCGCCAGTCAGAAGAGGGTGCCGCGCAGAAGGAGGCCGAAGGTGGGGGCTAGAAGGGGGGGGGCGAATGGGCTATGGAGGTGGGCACAGATCAAACAGTGTGGGTGGCAGCAAGAACGAGAAAGAGCCAGTGGGACAATTGGGGGGAAGGGGGGCAGGGAACCCTGGTGACCGAACACGTGAGAACAAACGGGAGGAAACTGGGGCCCCCCTGGATCAAAGGGGTCCCAAGCCCAGGTCTGGGCTGCACAGGCTGAGAAAGGAATCAGGACAGGATGTGTCATTCTGGAAGGGAAGAGGTCCGTGTCCCCGCCCCCCCCCCCCCCCCCTTCATACTGAAAAAAGGGGGTTTTTTTCCCCCCCGGGGGGGGGGGGGGGGTTGAATCTCCACTGGGAAATGCTTTCTAAAAAATCCCCTCTGAGACAGGATGCGACTGAGGAAACTCCAGCAATCCCGTAGTGATGGCACCTTGTGGGGGGTCATTACGACATTTCTGGCCCATTGTTTTCCTCTAAGGCATCAGACACAGTCCTCCTTCTCTCCAATTTATCCTCACAACAACCCTGTGAGGTAGGTTACATTGAGAGTGAGCGACTGGCTCAAGCTCACCCAGGCGACCATCCCAGCCAGAGCAGGACCAGGATCCCGCCTCCCCCAAGTCCCTTCCCGGGCCCACAATGGCTCTCAGCGAGTTTCTATCCCTGGGGGGTGGGGGGAGAGCCCCCTGTGGCCAAGATAAGTGATCAAATGAACAAACGCAAAACCTCAGTCTCTTACACGTGCCCATATTTTTCTTAGGTCTGCCCCAAAAATCTATCTATCTGTCTACCAATCTCACAGGCACTGCTTTCTTCCCAGTTCCTTATTTCCTGCGCTCTGGTTTTCATGCTATGGCACATTTTCCTCTGGCTTGGCAGAAAAGGTGTGCTGCTTTCTTGCTTCCAAAATCATTCCCCTCCGGTTTCTTTAAAACCATCTTTTTCTGGACTGCACAATGTACAGATGATTGGCGAGTGCTGGTTGTTGAAGGCAGTGGTTTGAAAACTGCTTTGTGACTTGAGCACGTGCAGACAAGACCGGGCTTGGGAAGGCCTGGGACAGGCAGAACCCGGGACCAGGCGCTGGTGCGAAGGCAGGTCCCGCAGCTCAGCAGGGCAGAGGCGGGTGGGTGGCCAGCAGGCCAGAGCCAGGGTCGGGGCAGCAGGCAGTCCAGTATTATGCCGGGAGAGGGAGCAGAGCCCAGAAACAGTCCGGGGAAGGGGGTCCAGGCAGAAGGGGGCCGGAGCAAGGCCGGAACCGCTGGCGCGAGCGAGGACACACAGGAGCAGGGCTGGAGCAGCTGGCGCTGGCAGGGGCAGACCAGAGCGGGCTGGCATGAGGCAGGGGCAGCCGGGGCTGGGCCCAGAGGCGCAGGGCCAGAAGGACGACCCGCACTGCTTGGGGAAGAGCAGCAGCGCCAGGAAGCCGCGCTTTTGGGCGCCTCCCCAGGCCCCGCGGCTGCACTGCTGGATGGCTCCTCAGCTGCTCCCTCGAGAGCCTGCCAGGCGCCCCTCGTTCTGTGGCACCTGCAGCGTCACTCAGGCCCCGATCCTGGCAGCTTCATTACAACGAATCTGTGACTGTGTGTGGAAGTCTGATCTGTGGGGATCCAGGGAGGGGGGGAGCGAACCGCTCAGCAAGAGCGACAACCCCCCGGCTGCCCGTGCCACTGCCTCCTGCTCCACCGAGGCCGAGCGGCACCTTGGAGTGGCTGCCCTGCCCTCTGAGGGGGCACAAGCCAGGTCGCCCCCAGCCGCAGGCCAGCGCTGCCCCTCCCCACCTCCAGCAGGCCTCTCGGCTGCAGCGGGACTTGCTGCGGGATCCCAGCCTGCCTGTGACTGCACCTGTCTCCCCCCCGAGCGTGCCCACAATCCCCCCTGGCTCCCCCCCCCGAGCCCACCCCAACATCCCCCCCCCCCCCCCCCCCCCCCCCAGAATGATTGCTATCGCACGATTATGCTTTGGGCTCTCCCTCCAAACAATAACTCCCCCCACCCCCATTCATGCTCTATACTGTACTTTGTTATTGTTACTTTGTTTCAGATTTTTGTGATTAAAAAATATTTACAGAATGGATTAACCTTATTTACACTGAATCTTCCGGAGAAATTTGACTAGGCTCACAACCAATTCAGGTCCCGACTAGAGTCATGGAACAGATTTAGTTCGTGAGTCGAGATACCACTGTATTTTGCTTCTTCTGCTCAACAGATAGGATTCAATTCACACTACCAGGAACTTGCTTGAAGGCTTTTCTTACCCATGTTGAAGAACTAGAAACTTGCTTCCAAAGGAACCAGTGACAGAAAAAGCGGGGAGGAAGCGGGATCGTGCGTTCAGGGGCGCCCTGTGCTTGGGCCGGTGAACACGGAACACACCAAGCCTGGCCGATTCTTTATTTCAGGCGCCCTCCAGTGGCGGCCGGGAGTGCTGCAGCTCAGGTGGAATTATGCCACCTTTCCCAGCCGTACCTTTGGCCAGATGTTGTATGCCGCGATTTTACGGATGAGACCAGAGACTGGTTGGAATTATCGAGAGAGGTTTATTTACCTGCAGGGACCAAGCACTCATAGGAGTGTGGTCCCGAGCAGACGAATGCAGCTTTTTAAATACTCTTTTACAACTATGCAGGTGCTTGAATCACGGCAGAACAATGGGGTTCCCCACTGAGCTACATTTGCACACTTTGCACTTTTCCCATGCTAAAGCAAGCAAGCGAGGGTACAAGGGCGTGGCGCTGGCAGTTATGCTTGAGCGTAGCCTACTTCGTTTTCATCCTTGCGTAGCGTGCACATTCGTTGGGGTTCCTGTTCTTGTTCACGCGAACAGGACACCCTGATCATGCTTTCTTTTACCCGTGACGAGCCATGCCCTGGCTGCATGTTCGATTATGAGGGGGGTTACAACACAGATACGGGCAGATTCCCAAAGCGGAAGGCCTCCATTCTGGCTTGTCCTGCCTCCGTCCCTGGCCTGCGGCCTGCCTCTGCCAACAGCTTAGCGCTGGTGGGCAATGCTGGGGAGATGCCCTCCAGGGCCATCCGGCCCCCTTTCCAACCAGACTGTGTTTAAACAGCTGCGTGGCCATTCCAGTTGCCAGGGAGCCTGGCACCACGTCTTTTCACCATGCACAAAAATAATTTCATTCCATCTGCCCAGCCCAAACACTAGCAATTCTCCACCCTGCAAGTAAGGTGTGTGAACCTGAGCTGAAACAGAGGCAAAAGCTTGCCGTGCACCTTGGGATCAGAGGGGTGAACAGGAACAGGAACATGCAGGCTCCTACCCCAGGCCTGCACCTCTGCAGGGGCTGCACTGCAAACGCGGTTCCGGCCACATGGCTGCCACCGTGACGGAGGCTGAGGAACCACAGCTGGGCTCCCTTATCTGTCCCAGTGTGGTGCAGGCTGAAGAGCAGGGACTGGGACTCGGCCAGGGAGCCAACTGGGTGCTTTTGGGCCAGGCACTGACTCAGCCCAGCCTACCTCATAGGGTTGTTGTGTGGATAAGACAGAGCAGCAGCAGGAGAATTATGTAAACCACCAAGAGCTATTTCAAAGAAAAGGAAAAGGGCGGGAGCGATCTAATAAACACATCAAAGGACAGGCAGGAAGGCAGGCTGGCCGCTAGAAGCTGGCTGGCCGGAGGGTTCTGGGGTGGCCAAACAGAGGGAGCTGCAGGGGGTCCAGGAACAGCTGGGAGCCCGGAAAGGGAGAGGCTGCAGCTCAGGAAGGTCTGCAAGTGGCCAGAGGAAGATGCCTGGAGCAGCCTTTGGGGGGAAGAGAAGCTGCGAGAGGGGGAGAGCCTGCAAGAGGGATGGAGCGGCTGCTGGACCAGGCAGAAGGCTGCCTCCCAAGCCCTCCCGCTGGGCAGAGAGTTCACGGAAGAAACGGATTCCTGAGAGAGGCAGCTTCCTTGTTTCCCTTCTAATGGAATATTCTGCATCCTTGCTCGCCTTTCTGGCTCCTCTGATCGGCTTCTCTGTGCCTAAAATCCAGCCACCTTCAGGGAAAAGGCGCGCGCTGAGCAAGGAGCTGCTTTCTGGGGGCAGAAGTGGCAGGAGGGAGTGGTCAGGTGTTCTGTCTGCATTTGTCTAACCACCGCCAGCCATTGCAACAAATGCTGGCTGAATATTCCCCCCAGAATTTCCTGGGCATCCTGCACACTGACAGGGAAGGCCTCCTCTCAACTTTGCCTAAAACCCTGATACATTTTTCCTAGCAGTAAATTCCAGAACATTCAGCAAGCCCAGTTTCTGAACAAAACATGCTTAGGGAGATCCAGGCTCTTGTCCCCATCAGCCGCAAAGATCACTTTGGGGCCAGTCCTAACTCTCAGACTAGCAGCACGTAGAGAAAATGGATGAATAAAAGAAATACATAAATCTCCAAAGATCTGCCTAATTTATAGCATTCCACAAAGATGATATCCCATGTCCTGACTCATATCCAACTCAGTAAGCAATCCAGGGACTCCACACTTGCGAGAACGTGGCAGCCTGGGTCTTGTAGGAATAAACAATTTTAGCTCAACAAACCATGGGCCGCTGCCCCAACACAGCCCTGGGACGAGTTGTCCCTGCGTTGCTGACAAAACCACATGTCCAGCAGCAGCAACCGGCACGCGGCGAGTCAGCCCCGGTTAACTCTCCCTGGGTTATTCAACTTACACTGAGCCCCCACACCTTTCTCCTTACCTTCCTCAGAAATGGCAGATCGCCAGGTGCACACGGTGTGGGGAAAAGGATCGTCAAGTGAGAGCAGAGGGGAGCAGGAAACCCCTTCAAAGACCCAGGCCCAGCCCTGCCTTGAGTGGCGGCTTCCCTGTTTGAACTGTGGCAGCTCTGAACTGCTTTGCCTTCGGTTAAAAGCACAAATGCTTCATGTCTGCAGCCAGGACTGGCAGAAC